TATTTTGTCTGTCAGATACGCATGCTTGTCAATAACGGCCGGGTACCAGTCTAACTCTAGTTAGATTATATTTTGTCTGTCAGATACGCATGCTTGTCAATAACGGCCGGGTACCAGTCTTACTCTAGTTAGATTATATTTTGTCTGTCAGATACACATTAATTCACTGTGGTAAAGGATAACGTTCAAAGTAAAGTTTACAAAGAATTTGTATAAATATTGTAAACAGCAATATTAATCTTTAAATTACATTTTGGATTGTACGGGTATAATGCTCTTCAACTTCGTACTTTATTTGGCCTTTTTAACTATTTTGATTTGAGCATCACTGATGAGTCTTTTGTAGACGAAACGTGCATCTGGCGTACACAATTTTAATCCTGATATTTATGACGAGTTTATGTGTAAAATAGGTGTAAATTTTGTAATGTTTATTATTTAGCTTCTTGAATATTTGAGTTCAAGAGTTTAAACAACTTTCGGATTGTCAGTGCGAGTGAAAGAAATTAATGAACATGTATTTACTGCTATGTATTTAGTACTTTGTTAAGACTATACCAACTTCTACTCCTTAAAGATCTACCCAGTATACCATCTGTTTGTTCAACGGCTTTTATTTACTGCATATTTTCTATTTTGAATAATAAAATTTTTATTGCATATTTTCTATTTTAAATGATAAATTTTAATATGATAAAAATATAAGAAAAACAAGTTTTCTTCAAATATAAGTTTTGCAAACATCTGAACCGTAGTTCTTTAAACATTAATAAAAACCGAGCGCAGAGCATAACTTTCCACTCTGACTTATTCAAGCAATAAGCATATCCTACAACTACGAACAACTCCTGCATAGACAAGAATAACTTGATTGGATGTGTTTCTACTTATAAGTATTAAGGGGTTCATTTCACTGCATCGGATAGTTTTCAGCTAACTAATGAGACTGAACTGTATAATAGGGCTATGCATGCCTATTATAAATATAACTATATGAACATTTTTGATATTTCATTTTAATGTAAAAATTTGTTTGTTGTTACAAATCATAGTGTATCGTTTTGTGTGTATAAATGTCATGCTGCCCACTAAGGGGCCTTAATTGGACAATAAATATTCTTATTCCTATAAACTTAGAAAAGATTTTATAAATCTGATCTTGTACTTCAATCATGAGTTCATGGTTTTTATCATACCCTAAAACCAATCCTCTTATATAATTCAGAAGTTTGGAGAGTTTGTCATGTATCTCTCTGCAATAAATTACATATCTACTCTTGAAAATATTTATAAAAATCTTCAGTATGGGAATTTTCTAAATTTTACTTTTTGTCTATAAAGAGAGTGTTAATTTCGTTGTATTTAATATATTAGACTTAATTACTTGAATTATTTTTTGCGGAGTGCGGTGCGGTGCACTTCAAAAAACAACATATGAAAATGTATGGCCATGTATGTGTATGATTCCCTACAGTTAAAATAACACTGTCAAAATGTTTCTTCTCACCACAATAATAACATTGTAGTAACTGCTAACAAGAAAGCATATCGTAGACTATTTGTTCTATTGGTCTATTGGTCTATTGTTATATATGGATACCCCTTGTCCTTTGTTTTTCTATTATAAAGGACCAGAATAAAAATCCACCTGAAAACAGTTTTTTTTTGTATGGAGCAAACATCCCCCAAAAAAGGAAAAATTTAACAACAAAAATACAATCCTTACAATGTTAACAACTGATTAAATTATCATACAAAGCAGTATATAGAAACTGTTCAAGACCATTATGTAATATGTTGTTATAAGGCTTGAACATCGGTAAACTACAATGACCTATATATATATATTTATGATGAGACAGACTGTTTTAGCCTCAATTGCAACCTGCATGGAATAAGAAGTTTTGACTTAAGAATCTGAAAGTAAAATTGAATACCCCCCCTTTTTTTTTTGGTCTTAAGAAGAATTACATAAACTATAGCATATATGATTACAAGAACCAGTCGGTTAAAGAGTCACACAAATAATACCAATGGATTACTATGAGTCTGTCGAATAAACAGATAGTGCTAAAGATAACTACCTCCCTAATAAGCAGTCAACATGACCATGTTTGACGATGTTATTCGACTAAAAAGTCTAGTTTGTGGCCATGCAGTCTTAATGCGATGCAAGGTCGAGTTGAGAAAGTCAATAGAAAAGTACAGATTTATATTCCTCAAAATACTATTAATCATTTCTCGGCCTTATTTCAACATATTTATGTTTTTAAATGTATGAGCAATTCTGCTAGCTGGAAAGCTGTAACAAAGCTTCTGTTAACTACTTGGAAAACAGGATTTCCATTAAATAACTTTAATATGATATTTGGTTTGTGGCTATCACCACACCCTTCAGCCGGCTATCACCACACCCTTCAGCCGCCTATCATTAGGTCGAAGATTTAATATATCAATAAGGCTATGAAGGCATATCATAATCTAAGAATTAATTTTAAAATCTGACCCTGTAATTAAATAATGTGATCATATTAATATCATACCCTAAACCCAATCCTCCCATATAAGAGTTTGGGGTGGTTGTTATATATCTTGCAATAAACTACAATCTTCCTTATTTCGCTCCTTTTGGAGTTTATGTTATCCCTCAGTTTTTTTTGTTACCTTGATTTGTATTTTCCTAATCGATTTACAAAATTTGTAAATCGGTAAACTACTGTCGCCTTAATCAATCATGAAAATATTTATAAAAATCTTTAGTGCGAGTATTTTCTAAATTTATACTTGGTGTCCATAAAAAGAGTGTTAATTTTGTTGTATTATTAGATCCCTATGTTAATTACGTATATCTGTACATGAGCTTCAAATTGAATTTTGCTGTTTTTCAAATATACAACGAAACGAAAGAATTTGTAAAAAATGCTTCTCTGGCTAGGTTGAAGATGAAAAACATCTCATAACTTCAATTCTTCTTTTTTTATTTAGCAAAACTTTCAAATTTTTCAAATCAATGATTTTTTTTTATAAAGCAATAATGACAATCATGTCTTAAATGCAGTTTGAAAATGTGTAAAGATAATATGATGCATTTCTTACAATGTCAACGACTGTTTAAATTGATAACCAAAGCAGTATATAGAAACTATTCAAGACCATTATGTAATATGCTGTTATGAGATTTAATCATCGGTAAAAAGTAAAATAACAAAAATACCGAACTCCAAGGAAAATTCAAAACGGAAAGTCCTTTATCGAATGGCAAAATCAAAAGCTCAAACACATCAAACGACTGGAAAACAACTGTCATATTCCTGACTTGGTACAGGCATTTCCTTATGCAGAAAATGGTGGATTAAACCTGGTTTTATAGCTATCTAAACCTCTCACTGGTATGATAGTCATATGGAATTCCATTATATTGACAACAATGTGTGAGCAGAACAAACAGACATAATAGGTAAAAATGCCAAAAATTGGGGTACAGCAGCCCACATTGTGTTATAATCTTAATCACTACAATAACAAATAACTATTCAACAAAGAAAAACAAAATGGCATATATACACTATATATATATAGACAAAGTACATAAGCAAAAATGAAAGACAGGAATACAAAAAATGACCATAAACTACTGTTTCCTATATCTATATATTTATGGTGAGACAGAATGAGATAAATTAGATGTACTGTAATGAATAAGAAGTTTTGATTTAAGAATCTGAAAGTAAAATTGAATATTTCCCCCTTTTTGTCGTAAGAGGAATTACATAAAACATATAATATATGATTACAAGAACGAGTCGGTTTGAAGAGTCCTACAATTAATACCAAATTTATGATTATGGGTCTGTTTTTGAATAAACAGATATTGCTACAATTAACTACCTGTTTGCATGAACATGTTTGAAGTTGTTATGTAAAAAGATCAACTTATTCAAGTAGTAATTCAACTAAAGATTCTAATTGTATCCAGTACTAGATCCAGTATTAATGCGTTGCGAGATCGAGTTGAGAAAGCTAATTGAAAAGTATAGATATAAATTCTTCAAAATGCTATTAATCTAAAGATGTAATTTCATTATGAGCATTGCATGTACTTCAGAAATTTAAAAACGGCTGGGGAACTACAAGAGAGTAAAGTATAAATGCATTCTGAAATTTACTAAAATAATCGACGTGCAAAAATGTACTGAAATACTGTACAAAGATATAAGTTAGCAACTTCCGTGATTACACAGATTACAGATGATTTACATTACTCATACCTTAATAATAGTAATGTGATTAATCATTTCTCATACTTATCTTAATAATTTTATATTTTTAAATATATGAGCAAATTTTGCTAGCTAGGGAACTGTAACAATTAACTACTTGAAAACAAGATTCCGTTTGATATCCTTTTATGTGATATTTGATAAGTGGCTATCACCACACCCTAGCTACCAGCTATCATTACGGCATATACAATATGATCTGTGTTCCCGAATGCCATTCAAAACAATACATTTTTGCTATCGTTCACAGCACTCGAATATTGTCCTTCCGATTACTATTGTAAATCATTGTCGTGTACACTAGATTTTGATATGTGTTACCGGTCACACCTGCATTACCAATCGCTAGCCGGTAAGAGGGTGTGGTCACATGCAGCAAATGCTTATGAAACTCACAAGACAATTTCAAAAATATCATTAGGGAAACCTCTTCCAGATTAAAAATAGCTATGATGGATGTTAATGTTAACCGATAAAAATAAATTCAATACTTCAATGACAGGTGTTTCGATATTTACTTTTACACGTTAAAACACAAACAGAACTCAGAAATCAATCCTGCTGAATCTAAATTTTAAAATTAATATCATATCATATTTGCAATGAAATTTTTGCTTCAACCAAAAATTTGAAAATAAAGGAATCCCGTCCGTGAAAAATTAACCAATCAAACTTTTCGGAGTATCATAAGTATTATATACCTCGTGACTAATCATCGAACTGACATACCTGAGGGAAATACCGCAGACAAAAGCAGGACATTATGTGCAAGACAGAGATACGTTCGATAATAGAAAGAAAGGAAGAAAAAATGACTCAAACAGATTTAAATCAAGATATGAATAATAATAACATTGATAAGTAAGTATCTTATTTTTGAATTTTGAATAATTATTTTGTAAATTCCTTTTGCACGTGAACTTTCGTGTTGCATCAGTTTATCTTGTTCTTCTGCAATCGTTTTTTTTTCTAGATTATTTCTTAAATTCTATCCCATGCATATTTTTTATTTTCTATTTTTAGGGTCTTTAAAAAGACTGTCTAATATGAATGAAGTCATTTCATAATGAAATTGTTCTATTTTTAGCAGAATATTCTTTGAATAGCATACAACTAAGTTCTTCATTTGATGTCACCATAATTTTACTGTGGAACGAATGATATGAAAATTGATTGTGTTTACACGTCTAACTTTCCAGATTTTCGTCGGAAAATAATTTGCTAAGCGATTTTAGTGATTGAACAACACATCATTTTTCTATTTATAGTCAAGAAATTCCCGGAACCATTATAGTTACAAATTCAAATTCAAATTCAAATTCTTTATTTTCCTAAGCACAAGGCCCTTTCGGGTTATACAAAAATTTGACACGATCATTCACACTTTCACACCAACCTTTCTCACTCCGCTCACTCTGATTATGTTAATTAGATACAGTACAGTAGAACATACATAAAAGTCATCATATAAAACATATAAGTCCAGTTCTTGAATAAAGAGAGATAACTCTGGTTGTTATAATTAATGTTTTCTTTTTTACCAAGTAGATAATCATTATGATTGAGTGACTCAGTACAAGTATGGTGTTTTCTTTCAGCAAAATTAAGCTTTAAAAATTCACACAATAAAGATAAAAATGTGTTGTCTTCATTTATCATTATCCATATAAACAAGTTATTTGTACTTAGATACTTTACATTGGGGAATTGGTTATCTACCTAAGACAATAAACGTTTTCTCCTGGACATTGAAGAAAAACATGTACCTCGTCCTCTACTTTGGTTTAAATCACAGAACTGACAAAGCCGTTCACATTTCGGTTATGGTTCTAATTTTCCAAGAGAGTTGTATTTTCTCTCACGTCTTACATCAAATGTTTTGGAATTTTCAGGACTGCTGCGGAAGCAGGAAATATTATAAAGGAAGTTTTATCAGAAGCAGAGAAAGACAGCCGTTTAATAAATGGCATTCACAGTTGTGCAGTACATTTACAACAGTAAGTAACAGTTAGCATTAACATGTTTGAAGTTGTTATGTAAAAGATAAACTTATTCAGGTAGTAATTCAACTCAGTTTGTAGGGTTTGTAGCCTATCTTAATGATTGTCCTTTCGATGGAAGCAAATAAACTCATCATAGATACCTGGATTGAAATTTTATATTTGCGCCAGACGCGCGTTTCATCTACAAAAGACTCATCAGTGACGCTCGAATCATAAAAGTTAAAAAGGCTAAAAAATTACGAAGTTGAAAAGCATTGAGGACCAAAAATTCCTAAAAGTTCTGCCAAATACAGCTAAGGTAATCTATTCCTGAGGTAGAAAAGCCTTAGTATTTCAAAAAATGTAAAGTTTTGTAAACAGTTAATTTATAATTATGACCATATCAATGATAATTCTTGTCAACACAGAAGTGCTGACTACTGGGCTGGTGATACCCTCGGGGAATAAAAACTCCACCAGCAGTGGCATCGACCCAGTGGTTGTAAATAAACTCATCATAGATACCAGGATTGAAATTTTTTATTTGCGCCAGACGCTCGTTTCGTCTACCAATGTAGTGACCTTTTTCAAAAAGAATTGAGGCAGAAGATACAAAATGGACAATGTATCTTAAAGTTGAAGAATACAGATATTCCATGGAAAAAAAAGATAAAAACAATGAAAAAAAAATCACTCTACAAAACACAACACTTTATGTTTACCGTGGCTGCAGTTTAATTGACTTAATTGACGTTTATCACACATTTTTATATATATTTGTTTGCTCTGATTATTCCAGCTGTCCAGACAACATTATGGCATGTATCCTAGCAGACTATGGACCTCTCCATGATGTTACCATTAACATAGAACACACTTTGCTGGAGGCATACTGTATGGAAAATGGTATTAAAGTTCTCAAGGTTAATACCTTTATATGAACACTTATAAACTAACATTGATTTACTAGAGGTGAGGGCTTTTAGTAGTTAAATTGATTTTTCAAAAGGGAAAAAAAAAAATATGTCAGAAAAATTATAAAAAATCGAGATAGTGGCGGGGCAAATATGAACTTCCATTATTAAGTATAATAGCAACATGACTATTAAATGAACTTAACAATTTAACATCGTAACAGAAATTAAAGTTATGGGAACAGTTTTAAATTTTCTTACATTATTTAAGTAAAATTGTTTCTCTTTCAGATTGACAGTTCTGAAAAAATAAAGAAATTCTTAGGCACTTTTCAGAAAAATGGGAAATACACAGAACGGTCTGGAGACTTTACCTGTCTGTTAATTAAGGTTAATATACTTACACCCATTCTCATTGTTAACTACTAAACTGTCTGCCTTGATAATAGTGTCAACTGAGGTGGAAACTAAAATAATTGACAAATAGTTCAAAAAACTACGCGAATGGATCAACGCCACAAAAAGTGACGCATTTTTGTGACGTATATATGTTAGACTGCCTGTTTCAAATCAGAAATATGATAGTTGTTTTCATCAAAATTGTGACGTCATTGTGGCAAGTCCGTTAAAAGGACAGCGATTAGAGAAGCCATATATTGGACGTCGATTTGAGAAAAACAAAAAGACGTAGATTAGAGGGCATAGAATTAGCCGTCGATTTGGAATCTTATTCAATTATGACGTCAGATTTAGACATCGATTTGAGGAACGGACGTCAATTAGAGACCGGACGTCGATCTGAGTCTTACATATATAATCTTGAAATTCGTACAATTATATGGAACGAGATACAAAATTCACAATTATTTTCACAATACTAGTCCAATAATTATCATGATTATGACGGTCTTGAAATGCTATTTTAGAATAATGCTGTGACGACGTCATAATTATTTGGACTAACACAATACTTTGTCCATGGAAAATGGAAATTAACTCGACTATACTGACAAATAAGACATATGTGAAATGTACCGAAAATACAGAATTCAAACCACAAACGATAAGACATAACACAATATCTAACCGTACTTACAAAAGAAACATCATAACTAAATACATGAATGTTGGATGTATAAATACCGAGATACGTCGTAAAACAATGCGAATTCACACTCGGCAAAACAGTCATATTCGGGAATGGGTCACGTTCGGTACTTAGCAGACAGACGATGTAGATGGTAAACCACAATCTTAGAAAATATAAATAAGTAAATGTTTTACATGATTATAGATATTGATATAAGTATTTCAAAGTTATATTATGTTCTCATAATCATAATTCGATTTCAGAATTCGAAAGTTTTGGACGATAAAGCTGGAGACACTCTGCTGAAGTTTCACAAGTTATATAAAATTTGGGGCTGGCGTGTTATTGAATTTCCAGTTTGATGTTGAAAGAAACTAGCCATCTGTGTAAATTTTTCATAGTAAGTATATTCAATAAAATTGAGAATGGAAATGGGGAATGTGTCAAAGAGACAACAACCCGACCATAGAGAAGACAACAGCCGAAGGCCACCAATGGGTCTTCAATGCAGCGAGAAACTCCCGCACCCGGAGGCGTCCTTCAGCTGGCCCCTAAACAAATATGTATACTAGTTCAGTGATAATGGATGTCATACTAAACTCCAAATTATACGCAAGAAACTAAAATTAAAAATGATACCTCTAGCCAATGTAGAAGAAACAAACGTACAACAGTACGCACAGTAAAACTCAGTTTAAGAGAAAGCCGAGTCCGATGTCAGAATAGGAAACAAAAGAAAATAAAACATTTATAAGCAATACTTTAGCAGTAGTGGTTTCATAGAAAATCAGACTTTGTAAAGAACTGCACCGATTAAAAAAACCCAAATACAGCGGGGATGATATCATCAAAGTGCTATACTATTTGATCGACAACATATTTGTTGACTTTGGTGGATTGATATTTCAACAAACAGTCGGTATTATAATGGGTACTAACTGAACACCCCCTTCTGATCGACTTGCTTTTGTACTATGAAGCAGAATTTAGACAATGCCATCTACAAACAAAACAATAAAAAAAAAACATCTTACAGAATTGTTTTGCTTCACTTCTTCGATATTGACACCGACGACTTAAAACAAGCGTTTGCAATTGTCAATTCTTATTTCTCGGCAGTAACACACCCTCTACCCAAGCGTATTTTATACATATCTCAATTGATACGTTAAGCTCGTGCATGTTCACACTATACGAACTTCATCAACAGGAATGTGCTCTTACACAACATGGAAGAGAAAGAACGTCTGAAATCGACACTTCATAGGTTTTACGGTAACATGACGAATTTGTTGACCGATACGGTATGTCTGTGTCGCCACTCACAAGCAATATTTGTTCGCAGTCTTATATCTTTAGATATCAGAATAGGGATGTAATATGTAATTTACCTTACCGATTGTGTCTTATATCTTTAGATATCAGAATAGGGATGTTATATGTAATTTACCTTACCGATTGTGTCTTATATCTTTAGATATCAGAATAGGGATGTAATATGTAATTTACCTTACCGATTGTGTCTTATATCTTTAGATATCAGAATAGGGATGTTATATGTAATTTACCTTACCGATTGTGTCCTTATCCCGATTGGGACATTTTGACTGAGTGTGGATAAGCATGGCTGGTAATGCATGCAAATCAAGAGACGATTACCCTGTCGACACACTCCTTTTGGGGTTCATGCGATTCTTTAAGTTTTTGTTTGTTACCTTGATTTGTCTTCCTAATATATTTATGAATTTGAACTTCAGTAAAGCACTGCTGCCTTAATTTAGAAACATAATTAACAGTCTTTTCCTATTACGTGTAAATCCCGTGATTGTTTTGTTTCATATTGCTTTGATGGTAATTGCGAGAACAGTTTCTACAACATTAATATTGAAGAAACATATTGCAGTATTTTATTATTTATTTTTCAGAAATTATCTGCACAATTGCAGTATGATAATGAACAGTAAAAAAAGAGCTAGTCTTGACTGTACTGTCGGAACATTTTACTGTCGTTATCCGACCTTCTCAACAGTTATTGATAACGTTGGGTCAATCTGACTTCAGGACTACGTTCACATCAAGAACCAGATCCGTGTTGTACATATATCGAGGGGCAGATATGTGTCATATGAAGACTACCCGGGAGGAGACATGAAGAAAGGAAATGACATGTTGAATATCATTTGTATGTTTATAAATCATCAGTTATGTTTGCATGTTCATTGTTATCCTAGTTATAGAAATAAAAGGAATATCAGTTGATTCTGTTTTGTTTTTATATTGATGAAGTCGTTAAACATTGCAGTAGTGCCTTAAAGAATCCAGTATTACATATTCTATTGTTTTCTGACAGTACATTAATGAGTGTAATGTAATGTACATCAGATAACAAGAGAGAGAGAGAGAGAGAGAGAGAGAGAGAGAGAGAGAGAGAGAGAGAGAGTAAAATCTTTATCCACAAGTGTGAAAAAGGGTCGAAATCTTAGTAAATCTTTGACTACCTCCCTTAGCACTACAACTAGAGCAAGTAATGAAGCATATAATCTTGTCATTTTACTATGTACAAGATGCGCCCAGCAATACAGATAATACATACTAGTACACTTTCAAGTAAGATACATTTAAACTTTAAAATGGAGAACATCATACAACCAGTCTTATGGTAGAGAAAAAATACATTTGATTGTACTGCACTAAACAAAAAGGGTCCGTTTATATAAAACTGATAAAAAAAAATATTTTATATTATGTTGTGTTTTGTGAACTATTGTTAATTTTCCTTTTTTGGGCGGTGATGGTCCTTTGGCACCATCTTACGGTGTTTATATATCACAACTCGTTGGCTATGCCTGAGTTTGTTGTGACATTTTGTATTTCAATGAACGTAATCTATATATTAGTGGTAAATTATTAAGTCAGGGATTTCGTGATCACAAATTACTTAAAACCTTTACTAAATTCTTTCATAGATATAAAGATTTGGTTTGAAAGTTTGGTTTTACCTGTAGAAAACTTATTTTTAACGGGATAGCACATCTTAATTTTTACGGAGATTTTGTTTACAAAGCCCTGAAATTTAGATACGATCCGGGTAAACTTATTGGTGGGGTTCGTGTTGCTCAGTCTTTAGTTTTCTATGTTGTGTTTTGTGTACTATTGTTTGTCTGTTGGTCTTTTTCTCTTTTAGCCATGACGTTGTCAGTTTATTTTCGACTTATGAGTTTGAATGTCCCACTGGTATCTTTCGCCTCTCTTTTATCGATCCTTTGAATAAACTTATTCTAAAAGGTTACCGATTCAACACTATAATTAGATCTTTGAATATTGTTTTTATTGGTATCAATATTGATTTTGTTATCAGTAAATTAAAATCAAACTAAATATTATGTGTACATACATATGCACATGCATGGCTCTACAATCTGTCGATAGCTGTATTTTGGCATTGCACAAGGTCATGTTTTTCTCTGACGGTTAATGACGTCTTTACACTAAATTCATTGGATGTTTGATGTGTACTATTAGTTATCATGGTGTAATCAGGGGTGTACAGAATTTTACACCGTTGTTGAAAATTCATACACCCTGAGGCGCAAAATTCATACACCCTGAGGCGCAGCCGAATGGGTGTATGAATTTTCAACAACGGTGTTAAATTCCGTACACCCCTGATTACACCAAGATAACGAATTTATATCTTATGAACAATTCCTTTACCCATTTTTAAACCAGGATGTAAAATTGAAAAATGCTAATGAAAAATTTCCAGTATAACATTTTTTCAACGTCGATTTTGCTGCGCATTGTTAAATACTTTTTTTCTTTATTTTGGGGAAATTCAGAATTGTTTGTGTTCTTTCGAATTTTCGGGTAAAAAAAATTTTAAAAAAAATTTTACAAACTTTTTGTCCTCAAATTTATTCATTTTTTATTTTTTTTTTTTTTTTTTTTTTTTTACGTATTATTTTTTTTTCTTTATTTTGGCAAAATTTAAATTTTTTAAAATTTTTTGGCAAAATTTTAATTACCCCGGGGTGAACAAGGGTGGGGTGTTATTTAGTTATTTAGTGTCTATTTGTTTTGTGGATGTATAAGTACCCTGCCACGTCCACTCTGTGTTTTTGTTAGATGTATTTCTGATTTGTATCGGTCTGATGAGTTAAGCCCTTTTCAACTGATTTTTATAGTTTGTTCTAATGTTGTACTTTATCCACAGTAACCTAAACTGTCTCAAGGAAAAAAGAAAATATTTTAAAATTCGGAAATTCTATGTTTTTACACGTTACCAAAACAGTCGATTCAGTCTGTAAATGAAATAAATAAATTAGGAGTTATCCTTCTTAGTATAAGAATAAGAATATTTATTATTCCAATCAAGGGCCCTTGATGGGCAGCATGACATGTACACATAAAACAATACATCATGATTTGTAACAGAAAAACACATTTTTTTTATACATTGAAATGAAACATTAAAAAGTTCAGACATGTCATTATCTCCATTCTATATAAATCACATACATTTAATTCCAGGCAGGACCAGAACCATAAAATCATTACAATTATCATCGTTATTACATACATTAATTTACATTTTGTCTAACATCTAGACATGTAATAATATAGTTCCCTAAATATTTAAGTACAGACAAATTTTCATTAGTAAATAACCAAACAAATTTTGCCTCATTTGAGAGATATGAAAAATTAGGACAAATACTGTTTATCTCCTTGAAAATATCTCCCTATCATCTTTGTATGCTGGACAACTAGTAATAAAATGTTGTTCATCTTCAACCAGATTTAAAGTACATTTCTTACAAAGCCTTTGGTCTCTTTCTATATATAAAGTTTCATACCTGTCTCTTTCTATTTTGAGATCATGGGCACTGATTCTGATTTTACATATGGCACTTCTCAATTGAAAATTGTTTAAAGATAGATACATTTCTTTAGAAAAACAAGTTTTTAGTTTGAAATAAGTATCTAATTTACTACTCTTTGTATCTGTTCTTTTTGTGTTCCAAAACTTTACAAAACTATTGCAAAGTTTTTTCTAAACTGACTTGATAAAAAAGTGAAGCTTTACCTCCAAATTATGAATATTCAGCTTTTTAAAAATGTAATGTATGGATGAATACCAGCATTCTATTTTATTAGTAAACATGTTTTTGTTACACATATAGGTATCGTACAGTAAACCATCTTTCATATTTTTTTATTCTAAACCAATATTTCATTATTGATAATACAACTGAAAAATATAAAGGGAATCTACCAAGCTCTCCTAGCACAGCTAGGTTAGAAGACTTTTTTTTACACCTAAAATATACTTCATATATCTTAAATTGGATTTATCTAAAAAATCATTCATATAAAAGTATATCAAATTGACACTATTAAATAGTAATGTACTCCCAAAATAACAGGAAAAAGAATGTGTATGCTCCCCAACAGACAAAGTGACACTGTCAAAGCCCCCCCCCCCCTACAAAACAATAGAAGCCGAGTAGCCACTACGCACAAGAGTAGTGTATACTGCAGTGCACTGAAGGTTGTGGGAACAACATATACAATACGACATTTTCCACTAAAAACAATTGAAATTCAGATTCACATTTGTTTGTGTCATGTGGATAAGCAACGAAAACTAATGAAATGAACAAGGGAGATGTTAAAATTTGATAACACAAAAAAACATCTCTTTATACAGTTTATATAGGAATAAAAGTCCCACTCATTTTACAAATTGGAGAACACCATACATCCAGTTCTGTGACACTGTAATGTTTAACACACAAGGATCGTTTTTTAACTATAGATAAGATGCATGGTCAAAACTTTGTCAGCAGCATGTGTAAATATTTACTATCTACATAAATTATAATTTGCATGACTAGAAGAACAAGTCGGTTTGAAGGGACACACAGATGATAACCACTCAGACTGGATTGTACTAACACGTATACAAATAACTGGTGTACAGATAGCTTCTCTATTTATTTAGCAGTTAGTGAGAAAATGTTATCAGTTTAGATTTTTTTACTTAAAATAATAATTTGCTATGTAAAAATATCAACTTCTATTCAGGTAGTAATTCCTCTAGATATGCACTTGTAGCAAGTCTAAACTGTCTGAACTATAAACAACTGTCGTACAAGTGGGGGGTTTAGATAGATAGAAAACCAGGTTTAACCCAACATTTTCATCGGAAAATGCATGTACCAAGTCAGAAATATGACAGTTGTTTTGCATTCGTACCGTTGATTATTAAAATCTAACGTTTGATTTTGACAAGTTTTGTGGACTTCCCCCTTTTTGAATTTACTTGGAGTTCGGTATTTTCGTTAATACTTTTTGTGGAGTTAGTACGAGGAGAGAAAGCCAATTGAAAAGTACTGATGGGCTTTCTTCAAAATGCTGTTTATCTAAATATACATATCTTTAGTATAAGCATTGGCATTGCAGGAACTTAAGTTAGTATACCGAATATGAAACCAGCGAGGTACTAACTTAGGAGTGATTAATAAATGTACTTTTGATTTGACCAAGATTTACTAAGTGTCTAAACTACCGTAGCAAAAAAATGCCTCGCCTTGATAGTATCTAATATCCAGTACGGTGACAAAACACTTTCAGACAGATACAAGGTATGATTTCTGTTTACTTATTTGTTATTTGTATGCAATTATTCTTTCCGTACAATATACGAAATTTAATGAGAAATACAACAAATTCGAGGTAAGTTAAACTCTATTAATCTAGAAGGATTGTAGAAAATATCATCATACAATCGAAAATAGTAATATGTGTATTCATATTCTATAATTGCATACAAATAGCAAATGAGTAAACATAAATCCTACCTTGCATCCGTCGGTGAATGTTCCGTCACCATATTGTCGAGTCGAAAATGTTAAAACACAATGAATATATAAAGGACTATTATTACTCATACTAGAATGATAAAAATGATAGAAATGATATGAATGATTTATCGGTCGTATTTCAATATTTCAAAAGGTCTTAATAGCAAAATCTGCAAGATGTGAAAAAATAACAGATATTTTTATTATATTTAGTTTAATTGAAAAAAAATGTTGAAACCACTTTTACTAAGACTGAAGCTCATATGATATTTTGCTATGCGTCTATTCTTACGAAAATCACACAATCAATTGCAAATGACATTAGGGAAACCCTGGCCGTTTAAATATATCTATGACGAATGTATCTGTTAACCGATAAAAATAAATCCAATATTTGAATCACAAGTATATTTCGTTATTTCATTTTGTACGTTAAATAGATGTTATACTCTGCAATCAACGCTGTTGATTTTAACTTTGCAAATTATTTATCATGTTATATTTGGTATAAAAGTTTTACTTGAACAAAAATATTTTAAATCGGGAATCCCGCTTCGGAAATATTAACCAATCAAATTGTTTGGAGTATCAAAATTGCCACAACAAACATATGATAAACCTCGTGACTAATCGCCTTACTGACATACCAGAGGGAACGTCCAAAGAGTAAAGTATTGAACTACATTTGCAAGAAAGAAATTTTGAAAGTAGAAAGAAAGGAAGCAAAAATGACTCTTACGGATTTAAAACAAGATATGAATAACAATAGCATTGATAAGTAAGTATTTTTATTCATATTTTAAAGAATTAATCTGATTATTTTGCAAATACCAACTATCGCATGTGACCTGTCATATTGCATCAGTCAAGATATTCTACTTCGGCAATCGTATTTTCTAGATTATTTATTGAATTTTATAATATGCATGATATTTTCTATGCGCCAAGTTTTTAGAAACGACTTTCTGATAGGAATGAGCTCAAAGTCATCTCATCACGAAATTGTTCTATTTTTAGCAGAACATTCTTGGAATTGCATACAACTAAGTTCTGTACAACTTTTCATCATACATTAAATTTGGTAAGTTACATATGAAAATTGTCCATTTTTTTCTCGTTGACATTCCAGATTTTTCTTCGGAAAATGATTACTAAGCAATTATAGTGATTGCACAACACACCTGTTCTATTTATAGAATAGAAATTCCCGGAACCTTGTATTAACGGCAAATTTTCTGAAATTTCAGGACTGCTGTTGAAGCAGGAAAGATTTTGAAGGAAGTTGTTTCAGAAGCAGACAAAGACAGTCGTGTAGTAAATGGAACACATAGTTGTGCAGTACATTTACAGCAGTAAGTATATGTACCCATTAATAGATACATGCACCATTACCATTTAGAGTTAAACTATTATGAAGAATATAAGAAAAGGATATAAAAATTATTTTTAAGTTTTGGATTTTCAAATATTTTGGCCTCGAGCAGCACTGAAGAGACATTAATTGTTAAAATGCGCATCTGGTGCATAAAAGGTGGTACCGTTTATGTTTTATGTATACCTTAACGGTCATGAAATAGATGATATCAAATTTGTACTTTTGCTCTTTCAATAAAATCAATACAGTGACTTCTAAATGTTTGCACTTTTGAGAAATATTATTAATTTTACATAGCATTCGCCCACTGATAATTGAGTTTATTTCATATTTTTTTTTTACTTTGATTCCAGCTGTCCAGACAACATTATGGCATGTATTCTAGCAGATTATGGACCTCTCCACGATGTTACCATTAATATAGAACACACTCTACTGGAGGCATACTGCATGGAAAATGGTATAAGAGTTCTAAAGGTAATTACTTGGCCACATATTAATACCAATTATAAGTTTACATTTACTTACTAGTCTGGACGGGCTTACAGTATGTTAATTGGCTATTCAATAAATAAGATTGGAATAGAAAAAAAATGCAAGAAAAGAAAACCAACACCTTTAGAAAGTGCATTGTGGAGGAATATGCACTATTTATTAAATTAGTAAGAACTATATTCCTTGAAATTAAGTTTATCATTTAAAAGCAAGCAATCTTAACAGAAAGAATAATCTAATTAATAGTCCAGTTTAAAGTAACAGTACATTTATTAAATTACAACTTTTTACCTTTCAGGTTGACAGTTCAGAGAAAATAAAGAAATTCTTGGGCACTTTACCCAAAAATGGCAAATACACAGAAAGGTCTGGAGACTATACCTGTCTGCTGTTAAAGGTAAATACCCATGAACTTTAACTTGCAAAGATTTCTCTCGTTGAGATTTTCATGCATTGGTTGATTACAAATTTGTCTGTTTTAATTGTAGTTACATCTGAGATGGAAACATTAGAAAAAAGTTTGACAATTAGTTACAAAAACTTTTTAGAACTCAAAATGATTTAATCATTATGATAGACTTTAACTTAAACATGATAAATGGATGGCTGTTTAACGTCCATTATGAAATCAAATGCTTATTCAAGACAAGAACATGATAATGTTATATAAATATAACTCCTACTTTTTAGTGGCATACTGAGCAGGATTTTTCAGTCATAAATTCTAATTGAACAGTCCACAGATAGACATTTCACCAAACCTGACTATTCTCTGCTTTTTCGGTCTTTGACCGGTTTGTGGTTTGAACTTACGACCACACACTCGAGGCGAGTACTTTGATATGAGAGCACCCGTACTGCATTCAAATAATATAAAGACAAATTTGAAGAACTCAATTGGAAAAAAATAAGATTTTTGGTGTTCATAGATATTATTTTAAAATGATTTCAAGAATATATTTAGATTTTATTATTTTATTTCAGAATCCCAAAGTCGTGTATGATAAAGCTGCAGACACGTTATTGAAGTTTGATAAGTTGTATAAAGTTTGGGGCTGGCATGTTATTGAGTTTCCGGTTTGATGTTGAATGAACCCAGCCATCTGTGTATATTTCTCATAGTAAGTATATACAAATCTTTGTAAGCAATACTTTAACAGAAAGGGTTAAGCAACATAATTTGAAAAAAGTATTTCCTTATTTGATTAAATTACCAGATTTTTCTTTCTTTTTTTTTCTTTGTTTTAATGAATATTGCTTTGACGATGATAAGCTGTTTGTGCTAACAAAAATATTTAAGAACAAATTCAATTTAAAAAGTTGTAAAGAAAAATTCTTGCTGCTGTTAAATTTAATTTACAGGCGAAAATCTGGATTATTCCATCATTATTAGAATGCTATTTCATTAAAAATATTTTAAATCTTTTTCAGAACTTTTCTGCCCAATTGCAGTATAAAAAGTAAAAAAAGAATGAAGAGGTAGTCCTGACAGTTCTGTCGGACGCGTTGTACAGTCTTTATTGGAACGTCTCAACAGTTATTGATAACGTTGGACCAGTCTGATTAGATGACTACGTACATGTATGTCAAGGCCCTGACGAGTTGTACATATGTATAAGGGATAAAAAAAATCATACAAAGATTACAGACCCGGGAGGAGTCCTGAAATTTTTTTTAGGAAATGTGACATGTTAAATATCATTAGAATGTTTATAAATCATCAGTTATGTTTGCATGTTCATTGTTTTCCTAGTTATAGAAATAAAAGGAATATCAATTAAATTTGTTTTTTATTTGTGCAACATTTGTTAGACATTGCAGTAGTACATGTTAACTGCTTGGTATTTAATAGGGAGCTCTTACTTACAACCGAAGTTGGAGATCCAGAGTAAAAGAAGTATTGTTTGCACTTGTTTGTATTTTAATGCGTTTTGATTAATTCTTGTATATATCAATACGTATGCGCCAATAACAATGATGAAATAAAATATATTTCTCCTCCTCGCACGGATATGTGCCTGTTATAGATAGTAATTAAATCAAATACGAACTAGTCAAGGTCAAATAGTTCGAATATACCGTCATTTCAACGAAATTTGTAGGTTAATAGATATAAGAAGATGTGGTACGAGTGCCAATGGGACAACTCTCCATCCAAGTCACAATTTGTAAGCCTAAGCCTCAATATATCCCTACACTGGTAGTAGAAAGAGGTTCGGAATCAACGAAATTACAATTAACCAGATCAGCTAGAGTATACGGAACAAATAGTGCGTTGGTGTATTCGTTCTGAGTAGGTTTTAAATACTGCTTATTGTTAACAAATCAAATCCGAATGGCAGATAAGGTATGGATGCACTGGGGACCATAACAACCACAGTAGTCTTACACTTACTCTTACATATAACACAAGTCAGATACAAAATTGTCTAGATACACATCATAGTAAAATAAACATTTAGTCTTAGATACATGATTTTTATGCCCCCGCCGTAGCGGAGGGGCATTAAGTTTTACCCTTGTCCGTCCGTCCGTACGTCCCAAAATTGGTTTCCGTTCTCTAACTTTAGTTTGCCTCAACCAAATGTTATGAAACTTATACACAATGCTTATTACCACAAAACACAGATCAAGTTTGAATTTTGGTGGCGTCATTTTTACCGTTCTAGAGTTATGCCCTTTACAAATTGAAAAATTGCTAAATTTTTCGTTCCCGTTCTCTAACTTAAGTTTGCCTCAATCAAATGTTATGAAAATTAAACAAAATGCTTATTACCACAAAACACAGATCAAGTTTGAATTTTGGTGGCGTCACTTAACCGTTCTAGAGTTATACTCCTTTACAAATGGAAAAATTGCTTGATTTTTCGTTTCCCTTCTCTAACTTAAGTTTGCCTCAACCAAATGTTATGAAACGTATACACAATGCTTAATACCACAAAACTCAGATCAAGTAAAAATTTAGGTAGTGTCACTTTTACAATTCTTGAGTTATGTCCCTTTATAACATTATATGCAAGCGGGGGCATCATCTGTGTCCCATGGACACATTCCCCATTTATTTTATTAGTTGTTATTGCCTTTGAACTAGCTGTCAGTAACTGAGTACTCTCAGATCTGTACTTAGTGTCCTTTTTGTTGTTATGGGTGAGGGATGGATAAATGCCCTTTTTTGTCATTGTTGAAGGCCGTACGGTTGCCTTTAATTGCTTACATCCACTTTATTTGAACTTTGGTGTATAGTTGTCTCATTGGCAATCATACCTCGTCTCCTTATATAATCACTTTCGCTCATCGTTGAAAATCTTCCAGGAAATTTTAGCAATAACGTTGTACCTTTGATCAGGTATCTCCTTGTTTTACAAAAGATTGTTTTTAACTTTTAGTAATTATACATTATTGAAATTCTATAAACTACTAAACGGTATAGGCTTTGTTCATTGTTGAAGGTCGTATGGTGACCTATAGTTGTTTACATCCTCGTCCTTTGGTCTCTTGTGGATACCTGTCTCATCCACATCGTTTACATCCTCGTCCTGTGGTCTCTTGTGGATACCTGTCTCATCCACATCGTTTACATCCTCGTCCTTTGGTCTCTTGTGGATACCTGTCTCATCCACATCGTTTACATCCTCGTACTCGTTTGGTGTTTTGGGGATAGCTGTCTCATCCACATCTCTTTATTCTTATATCGCTGTAGTTCTTAAAAACATACGAGGGATCAAAACAGGACAAAACTTAATATACGTAAATATTTTCAGTTGGTGAATTGATATTATACATTTATACAGCTGGTATAGTGTATCATGGTTATGGGCATATAAAGGGACCGGATGCCAAAATACTGTCTTTTTTTTTTTTTTGCTTATTCGGACTTTTTATTCATGTATTCTACTGAATTTCTCTGAAAAATTCCATACTCGATTTTATCAACAGATTCGTTATAGGTCTTTTATAGTTCCATAATTATAAGGATAACAAAGGTAGATGCATGCGAGGATATGTCAATGAGACCGAAATCCTCCGAGAATAATAACAAATAGACATCAAGAGGGCTACATGCAGTCTTCAACAACAGACAGATGTTAATTCTAGAGTTGTCTGTTCCTAAGTATTTTCAGTATACTGTATCCATAGTCTTTAATAAAACATTGGTCAAAGTTTAACTCGAGTACATGCTTGTGTGGATGGGGGGTCATGCATTTATTTGTTCTCTAATTTTTAGACCAATTTTCTCTATTCTTTCTTTATTTTGCTCATTATTTTCTATTCTTTATAATCTATCACACCATTATTCTCTGTTCCTTATTTTCCCCCTACTTTTCTCTTTTCATTATTATTCAGCACTTTTTGTCCATTATTCCCTATTGTGTAAACCCCAGCAAGATCATCGGACATGCTGTAGTCGTATGTTGCACAGGGATATGTATGAGTTCACATATATTTATATAAATGTTGTAAGGGTAATATGACGGTCATCTGACGATGCACAGAAAGCGTATTTTTTTCTTTAAAGCAAGATTTCATCCTCCACGTATGTGCATTTGATCTTGGATATAAAATTTTCATAAAAGTTGAACGATACTTGATTCTTCTGAACAAGAGCCAATCGGATACCGTTTAGGTATCAATATCCTTTAGGAATATAATTATGGAAAATCTTGTAACAATTTTGTTGTTATTAAGATTCATATTTCCAATATATTTATATCAATATAGGTAATGTTCATATCCCATTGAAAATTACAATATGGTTTTAATTCTTTATGTACATTTGTAAGTTGACATACAGATGTCATTCGGATCTTGTGTGTGGTGTAGATCACATATCGGAGATGACATTGCTAAGTTCAAAACTACGATATTTCTCTACCAATGCATGAAATGCATATAGTAATCAGAATTGAAAAGAAAACATTTCTTTAAGGCATTATGGCTCCAAAAAAAAAGAAACCAATATATAAATAGGCTATGATAACTGAAATGTGAAAGACAGGTGATTTGATTGCTAATTCGAGAGAACTTTGACAATTTTAAAATAGCATCCGGTTATTATTTAGTAACGAGTTTTTTCAATATTGAACCTAAAGTTTGTTCTTTATAGCGGAATATCCTGGATTCAGTCCTAGCACGCCTTTGCAGTTAATTACATTTTTAGTACTTCCGAAAAAGGAAAAAGTTTTACTTATCTGCATAGCACTGTATACCCAGCATGAAAACAGACAAAACACTCTTCAGTTAATAAGTCATTGATTATTTAGACTAAGAAATTACTTTTGTGTGAGTTATATTGAACGATAAAGAAAATCAATTAAAGTATTGGAAAAATCCGGAACAGTTTATATTCAAAAAGGATAAAATTTATAGAACTATGTGCAGTGTCGGATCCAGGATTTCATATATTAGTGAGACACACCACATGTTTTAAATGATTAAATGGGTAAATTCCAACTCCTTATAAAATAATTAGAGGGTCAACAATTTGGGAAATCTGCTAAGAAACAAAATTTAAACCATACACACACGCATTAGATTGTTCGAGTAATTAATTGTTTGCTTAACGTAATGTTTTACTTTCGGAAAATAGGAATATTTTGTGATAACGTTGAATTGTTCCTCATTTCTTAGTATAAAACATAAATTACATGCACGATAGAGGCCACCATAATTTAACAAGTAGCTGAGATACTAGCTTTATTTCTGGCTATATTGGTTGGCTACAGGAAATATTCGAAAGAGAACTTTACCCAAACATTATTCATATATTTGATTACCTATTGATACGATTAAAAAACATATTTTCATAAAATTTGCTATGCTTAAGTAGCGGTTGTCATCTTGGTTGTTCAACATTTCGACATCGATAAAATTTCACAAAGGGTACTACTATAGAAAAGTACCAGCGACCAGTAATATGGACGACAGGTATAATCGGCGTACAATTTAAACTAATTACTCTGAGGGTGATTGTGGTCTGGTGTAAATTGGCTCAAAAGTTTTATAATAATGCTTTTTAAAAGTTAACGACGACGACGATGACGATGGGCAACAGACGACCACGGATGAGGTGAATATCGGAATCTGCTGTAGGGTTTCACAGACTTTGTCACTGCAATTTTCGTTTTTATTATGTTTTTTTTCGGAACGATGCAAGTCAGGAATATGACAGTTGTTATCCATTCGTTTGATGTGTTTGAGCTTTTGATTTTGCCATTTGCTTAGGGACTTTCCGTTTAGAATTTTCCTCGGAGTTCGGTATTTTTGTGATTTTACTTTTTTCATCTTTGATAGAAAGCGTCGGATTCCTATCTGTTTCATTTTATTTAATGATAATTTTTTGTGATGGCAGCAAAATATGATAAAAGAACGTAATATGAATGCAATCTGAATTTTTCAACTAAATTACTTTAAATAAATTAAAAGATTAAATTTTCCAAAAAAAAATAATGCCGTAAATAACAGTCTTAAATCGTCACCAATAAACTTGGCAGTCTGAGTCCTACTTTGTGCTGCACCCTTGATATCATCTGACTTTATAAACAAAACTATTTATCAATATCCCTTGTCATCTTTGGTTTGATCTGTGTTACAGCTCATTGTTCTTTTTTAATCGTGCAACAGTGCTGACCGTTACTATGGTTTCGTTTTAGGTGTATTGCTTAGGAAAGGACATCTGCCTGCAATTTCAAACGGTAAACTAAGTGCCTAATGTTTGATTAATACACAGCTGTCAAACTTTAAGTTTGTCAACGACAGGTGATATATTGAATACACAGTCGCAC